TCTCAGTCATCTAAATCTAATGGAGAAGGCATCCGTTTAATGAAGAAGCATTACTGTACAATTTCAGGAAATAAACTCATCTCCCCTGATTTAAATAAATGAGCGTCACCTTTCTCTTGTTCCCTAAACTGCGGAGCAACTTCGTAGCATGTTTAACAACCCCAAAGAGAGGCAGGACATTCATTTATTTCCAGAAATGGCATATCATTTACTAGGAACCATGTTAAGCACAGCCAATGATATAAAACTAGCTACTTACCACCAGAGCTGGCTTCCATGCTGGTCGTAACTTTAGCTTCTGTCCGGAAGGCATCAAAAACACGGCATTCGTAAAAATGTATGCCATGTTGTGTGGGCAGCTGTTTCTGCATGTTGGATGTATTTCCTCCCATGGATGTAATTACCACTTTACATCCAAACTTTTGATCAGTTTATCTGATGGGACGCCTTTTTTTTGTTTTGCTTTTCTAGACTTACGCCTGGTCACGTCGTACTTGCTTACTGAATGCCGTCTGCGTAACTTGCGTAAAAAAAAAACAGACTTAACTTGCGTAGAAAACGTGGCGTGAGTCGTGCTGTCCAGCGCTGGGCTGCCTGGAACCGTTAAGAGAGTCGTTAAGCGAGCTGCCAATTGATGCCATGGAATTGGAACACACTGAACCGGTTCTGAACAGGAACCAGTTTTCGATTCCCATCCCTGATGGCTGTGAACATTTTTTGTTCTTGTCAGCAGAACACGCAGTCTGCTCATTTTAATAGGCAAAACTGAATCAATTGCACCATAATCTTTGTACAGCACCAAAAACCTGCCCTCTTATTGCATTTACTAAAAGGTAATTGCATCTTAATAATATGCTGGTATTAAAACGTATTCTGTTGTTAAGACAAGTGCTTTATCTTATTGAAAGGTAATTTAAACTCTTTGTCCAGTCATGCTCACATGGATTAGTTCCATCAGTCTTACTAAACCTTTGGAACAAAGTCTGGCTTTTCTTTAGCACAGCTTATCAAGCTCACGTTTTTCAATCAACTTGACTTTCTTTCTCTCACTGCACCATGCATGTAAACCACAGCTAAGGCCTGTAAAAAACAAAACAAAAAAACAGCGAGTTTGACCCACAGTGCCATTTTGACATCAAAAGCCCTTTACTAAACCCGTCCTCTCTCTGATTCTCCTCCAGATGCCTCCTGCTGAGGGCCTGTCAGACCTGGCCAAGCAAGTGTTGTCCTCACCATCCAAGAACTATATCCTGACTGTGATGGCTGCAGGTGTGACCCTGCTTTTCCTAATCGGGATGGTTTCTGGCCGATTCACTAAACGAGTCACTCAGGAGCTGAAGAAGAGGTAGACCCCGCCTGGTGATCAGGAAGTGTCCACAGGAGAACTGGCCGCCTCTGAGGAGTTCCTGATGCTCTCACTGAACTCCCATTTTCCCCATAGAAGAGACACTGAACGCCTGCAACATCCAACCTGATTTGTCTTCATCGTTTTTTTGTTTCTGCTTTTTGCTCTTAACTGCTGCTGGGAAATGACATTACGCTCTAACCCTCACAGAAACGTGGCTATGACTTTCCAAGCCTTAAGAGACGGCGCTTTCCTTTCAGTTTATTCTTCAGATTTTTGGTTGGATGAGTGTTGCCTCCGTATGAATTCTATCCGCCCGTCTGGTGTACATGCAGTATTTGTCTCATCTCCTGCTGATTTTTGGGGAGGAGGTGGATATGTCTGAAGATTTGAGGGATAACCTCTCACAACCAGCAGAGAGGTGGAGAATAAAACTTTCCAAAGTGTAAATGTGTAGAAAGTGGGATGGGATAAGACCGACCTATAAAGTGGGTTAATGACTTTAATATTTTGATAATGAAGCTGTGTTCTTTGGCATGAGTGTGTGCTGTCTTTCTGCCCCAATATTCTTTTCAGTTGTATCTTTAACTAGTTTTGGGGGGGCCGGGGGTTATTGTACTTTTTTTTTAAGCCATGGGACTGCAGGGCAGGTGAGGCCAACCAACCAGCCACCTCTTAACTGAGCAACATTTGATTAAAAGAGGAGTGAAGACCTTTCGGTCCACCCTGGTCACCCGTGTCCTCCTCTGTGGCTGCCAGCTGTACTTGCTGGTCCCAGGTACCTATCGCATTCCTTCACATAGCAGCGCAACTTCCCATGTGAGAGCAAAAGAGGCTGTATTTCTCATTTTTACTGTAACTGGTTTGGTGCCAGTTGGTAGAATGGGGGATCCGTCCAGACAGGTTGAGAGCATTTTAGACAAAAAAAAAAGTCAAAGAACTAAAGACAGATCAGATTATTTTAAAGATGTAAACAGTTTGTGTAAAGATGTTACTGGAATCATTGCACAGTTTTTCTTCTTGTTTTTCTAATATCAGTGACTATAAATGTTTTTATAGCTTTATTTATTGTTTACTCTGTTTTTTTTTTTCTTTGATTTGAATGTTCTCTCTGCGTGCCTTTTTTTTTCTAGCATGACCTTTAGCAGGAAAGAAGAGACAGAGGTCTGAATTCCTGCAGTCATCATCATCATCATCCAGTAGCTTGGCATATTTTGGTAGATTTTGAACAGTCACTGAATTTTGGCATTAAAATTCAGTTTGTGTGCAGGAAGTGGTGGGTTTGGCTCTGTGGCAGCAAAAGTATCTGTATCAAACGTATTTTTGATTTAAAGCATTAACTTGAATCACTCACAACTTAACATCCACATGTTGAAAACAGCTAATCTAGATTTCCATTAATATAACTAATTTTGAGAAATCCATACACTACACAGGTTTAAGTCAAGGTGGCTTTTTCTGTCTAGTTTATCCTGACTATCAGTAAAATGATCTATAGATGTTTTATTTTAATCTTGCTGCACTTTGATGCCATTCCGTAGATTAACATGGTTGGTGTGCTGATTTCAACTTGGGTGTTTCCTTAAGCTCTCTGGTCTTTCTGGATAAGGTGTGTATGTCTGTCTATGAGAGTGTGAACAGAGCAGCTGAGTGACTACATCTGTAGTGAATGAAGTGCTGTATTGGTTTTGCAGTGGTCATGCTGCTTCTTTTTTCACCTTTCCATTTTTTAAAGCTCCTTCTTAAAGCTTAAAGTTGATAAGTGCTATTCTTGCTGTCTGCAGATCCAAACCTTCTCCATTGAAATGCCTTTTTCAATCTTTTTTTGTGTTTTTTTGTTTTGCTTTAATTTTTTTTTCAAAGTTGTGCCTAATCACCATCCAGCTCAGAGACCAAGGGAGCTGAACGTTCTTGCAGCTCCTAAAAAAATGACAGGGTTGAACAGAGATGGACCGTGTCCCCATATGTTAATTGTTACCTTCAGTTTAGACTCTGGGCAGCTGGGTCCTCTCTCTTATATCATCCAGAGTGTTGATGGAACGTTGTTCTTTTTTTAGGTTTATGATGGAATATGTTGTACACACAGAACTCCTGATTGGTTTTCACTGTTTTTTTTTTTCCCTTTTTTTTTTTTTGCTCTATAAAGAAAACTATGGACAGTTTCTTATTCATAATAAAGTGTGCAAGGTTTCTACTCTGCTGTCCATTTCTGTCTCAGAACCACCTTCGCAGTCAAAGCTGCGTCTTTAACGTAACTTAAGTTTTAAAGGAGTGATGTGAGGACATTAGGCAGGCAGGTGGTGAGTATACATGCAAGTGTATTTCTTTGTATTGCACACATGTACTAATTCCCCAAATATCCATATGAACTATAAAGTGTTCTGCATGTGAGAAAGTTAAACATCGGATCCAGTAGAGAAGAACACGAAGTTTTTGCTTTGAATAATTAGATTTGAGATTGCTTTAAAATTCTTACAAATACACTTTCCTGACAAAAAAAAAAAAAAATGCAACCCAAATTTATTTAGCAAAAAAGTATGAGCCTCCTACTTGATAATTGGGCGAATACATTTCAACTGGTAAAAGGGTATTTAACCACAAATGGTGCAATATTTTCCTTGCTTTTCTTAAACAAGCATGTCAACATATAAAACCAAAGGTCATGGAAAAGATATTAGTCTGTTTCAGAAGGGTCAAACTACTGGCATGCATCAAGCGGTTAGGCGGGGGTCTCAAGCTTTATACATCTAGGACTGCAATCCTGCAACTTTTAGATGCATCTCTATGGAAGTAAAACATTATCTTTAGAATCAGACATTTATTAGACATTAAATTGATAACACTGAATTTTTAACCTGTGCAATTATGTATACATTTTTTTTACTTCACCAGTAAAAATGTGCCTCTAAGAATTCCACTGCAGAAATTCACATATTAGAAAAATCAGCTGCAAATATTCGACAGCAGAAATGCATCTAAAAAAAATAAACGCACTAATTTGGCTTTAAAAATTCACCAGGTTAAATTCAGATGCAAAAACTCGGATGATAAAATGTGTTTACATTTTGATGACAAAACAAATCAGTCGAGATAGTCAAGCAGCTTTTAGCCAATCAAATTATTTTGGTCATGTGACACGGCAGTATGAAGTTTGTACTAGCTGTTATAATAATGTACTAGATGATATCATTTGGCAAGAGTGTTTTTTTTTCCTTTACTTTTTTGGTGCCTCGTTTCCAAATATAGCTGTGGGAATAGATGTTCCAGGACTAGATGATAGCTTGCCATAATGTTCTTCTTGATGCTTGCATATCAAACTTTATTGAAAATTATTTAGGGAGTAAAATTGTATAAAACAGACACAGAGGTAAGAAAGAAAGAGGGCATAAGAACTAAGGGTAGAAAGAGATACAGAGACAGGAATGAGTGCTTGAAAAAAGAAAATAAAACAGCAAAAATGGGAAATAGGAGCTTCAGTAGCAGTGGATATCCTTTAAATTTATATTGCTTTAGATTTAGGGTGGTAAATAACTAGCTGCATTTCAGTATTTAATATTAGTGTGTAACTTTGAACACCTTGAACCAAGCTCCCGTTGAGAGATGCATCTGCTTCAGCATTGCTGAATCAAATGATCGCATTTCGTCCTCATCTGCCTGAAAAGGTTGGAGAGTTCTGTTAACTTTTTATTATTATATTAGGGTTACACTTTTTAGGTGTACATTGTTTTACTGTATAATTGAATTATTCTCAAATCTTAATGTTAAACTACGGGTTTGAAGTAAGCTTTTTCTTTACAGTTAAATAAACATTATGACACAAAGATGTCAGAAGTTGGTTTCTTCCTGAAAAAGGAAAGGAATCATAAAGAGCTACCAGTTGCATCAATGTTTATCAATCAAACTACATATAACCATGGATCTACTGAACTGAACAGAACTTTCTCTCTTGGATGGAATAGATAAACCTTTGAGACCCAGCCCCAGAATGATCTGCTCCCAGTTATATACCATTTTGGTTTGCTTATTAATAAACAGTATAATGTAAGTAACATGATAAAATATGAAAGTCTCCATATTTGCTTATATTTACTACAACTGACCTTAGATGACCCATATCGTGGGTATTGTTTGGTCTTACCATGATCCTGTGTGTTATAAGTGGGTATACAGACACTATGAGTAAATTTTTGGGTCTGTTTTCATAACTTTCTCTCAGTGAAAGTCTCTGGCTACCTGACAGATCAGTGTAAAATTCTTCACGCCAACAGACCAGACATTTCAGTTTTTACAGCACAAAGGTACATCTCATCATTTCAAGTCTTACACCATCAAGAGCTTCTCAAAATGTAAAAAGTTGGTTCGTACAAAACTCAAAATTAGCAATTAAATTTGGAATTGAAAGGAACAGAATACATGATTATAAAATATTTATTGTGTCTTCAAAAGAATGGAAGCAGAGTAAAACATGCATACATGAACAGAATAGATACTCCAGGTCATAAAGCTCATAAAACATGTTTTAGCATAAGACTTCAATGTGTGTGCATTAATGACTATTGATTGATATAATCTATGAGTCATGACCTCCTCCACTGCAGGATTTTTTATATACAGAGAAGGTCAGCAGACTGAACTATGCAGGCTTTCTCTGGATGCAGGGTATTGAAACAGTGTCTTAGTGAAGATGTTTTAGTTAATTACCCTTCAATAAAACGATGATACTGCCAGACTTCATAATATATATTCTAATCAGAATCTGAGACTTTCACTTCACTAGATCCAGTCACTGAAACAATCTCAAAGCTAAATGTATAGATTTATTTATATCTATTAATACAAATATGTTCAATAAATTATTTTTTTAAAGTTGATTAATAGTAATTTCAGCAGTACTAATTGGTACTATTAGTATTATTTCAGCAACTCCTTTGATTAAACTAAACACATTGTTTAAGAATAGTTACAAACATTATTAGAATCTAGTATTATCTGTATTGAAAAAAATTATTCTAGATCACGGCCTGGCCCAACATTTACCAAACGGATAATACATTTTAAACTGATTACATACATAAACAGCTACATTAAAAATAAGCAATAAGAAGTTAAGTCAATAATAACATTCCAAGGCTATTCAGATGTGAATGTTATACAATATTGCCATAATTATTCGCTCACACAACCAATCACATCAGTGACAACAAATGTATAAAAACAAGCACCTGGACTGCCTCTACAAACATTTATGAAGGAATGGATTACACTGAGGAACTAGAAGAATTTCAATATCAAGAAATTCACATATGTGATCCACACATGCACATTAGATCCACACATGCACACCAGATATACACATGCATACCAGATCCACACATGTACACCAGACCCAGACATTCACACTAGATCCATACATGCACACCAGATATACACACATGCACACCAGATACACACATGCACAAGAGATCCAGCCATGCACACTAGATCCACACATGCACACCATATACACACGTGCACACCAGATCCACACATGCACACTAGATCCACAAATAAACACTAGATCCACACATGCACACCAGATATACACACATGCACACCAGATACACACATGCACAACAGATCCACATATGCACACCAGATACACACATGCACACCAGACCCAGACATGCACACCAGATACACACATGCACAACAGATCCACATATGCACACCAGATCCACACATGCACACCAGATACACACATGCACACTAGATCCACACATGCACACCAGTTACACACATGCACACTAGATCCACACATGCACACCAGATCCACACATGCACGCCAGATACATACATGCACACTAGATACACACATGCACAACAGATCCACATATGCACACCAGATCCAAAAATGCACACTAGATCCACACATTCACACCAGATCCACACATGCACACCAGATACATACATGCACACAGATACAGTGATGCACACTAGATCCACACATTCACACCAGATCCACAAATGCACACCAGATCCACACATTCACACCAGATCCACACATGCATAGTAGATCCACACATGCACACTAGATCCACACTAAATCCACACATGAACACCAGATCCACAGATGCACAACCGATCCACATATGCACACCAGACCCAGACCTGCACACTAGATCCACACATTCACACTAGATCCACACATTCACACCAGATCCACACATCCACACTAGATCCACATATGCACATAATAATTTTAACAAGTATATGAAATTTACATTTTCACAAGACAAGATTCATGAAAAAAATTGTGATGCATAGACAATTATAACTTGATTTTTGAACTACCAGTTGTCTTTGAACTGCTGCCTGCGCCTGCAGTAGAGTGAGAGGACACACTGGGGAATGCCTGGCGCTTAGGCTCGGGTGGCTGGCATTTTATAGTTGGCCTAGGGGGGTGGACTGCTCAGGCTGCATTTGTTGATAGATTCCTGATAGAATCAGGGCACCACCAAAAAGACTGGACTTCTGAATTTTTTGTTGTTGTTTTGTTTTGTAGTAACAATGAGTTTTATGGACTATTATGTGTAGCATACATCTGAAGAGGGAGGGTGTAGTGTCTGAATGGTACTATGTTTTTCTGCAGATTGCTCCCTCTGTTTTGTCATGTTATGCCTGCAAATTGTATATGCATGTCTATGTTAAAGAGAGGGATACAAAAAAGTAAACACAAGTGCAATCTATTCCAGACTCTGAGTGGTTACTTCCTGCAATGTTGTGGTAAAGGCACAACAGTCAGCTGGAATGGGAAATAGTGCCCCCTCTCATTTGTGGAGCACAAAGGTGCCATTTCCAAATATGGTATGAGTCTGCAATGTGGTCAGTCTCTGCCCCTTTCTGTTGTTGTGACATCCTACCCTATAAGAAAATCAATGACCACCTGGTGTATGCTCTTGTGATTGGCTCAAGCTAAAGAGCTAATTATTTATCTAATTAGTAGCAAATCATATCTTGTTAAAAAAAGCATTTGTGTATGGAGTCACATCAGGTGAGTGTCAACAATCCATGCACACATCCAGTAAAGTTCAAAGACAAATGACAGTTTGAGACTTAAGATAAAACTGTTTATGAATCACAAATAGTTATGTGAATCTTGTTTTGTGAATATATACATTTTATGTGCTGAATTTAATCATCAGGTGCGTTCAAGATTAGGTCGACCCACGCAGATCGGATCGGTGTTGGACTGAGCGAGGTGCACGTCAGTTAGATTTCTGTCCAACTTGCTCCCATCTGATGTCTAGAGCTCATGAGCGACTGAAACCTCTAGAGATCAGAAAGAGACCAGCCATTTGAGGCAGCCGCCATAGATGATCTAAAGCAACTGTGTTTGCTGCAATGCAAGATGGGAAAAACCTCTCCTGTCACCAGGGAACGGACAGGTAATTGGATCTAAGTATTGTAAATAAATAAGCCCCTACATGTCCTCCTCACCCCTTTATTTTTTTCAAAATATAAATAAATACAAGCTTGAACTATTAATCTGTGGCATATTTATTCAAATTATTTGTTCTTAATTGGCTGACAGAATTTTTAGATGGAGGCTATTTGTTATAAGTATATAGATGTTATATAAATAAGATGCAAAATAATACTCAAAATAAATATATATGCAGTATTAGGCTATGCTTGGCTGATTGTTTAATTCTTTTGTGTTGTAACATGAAGCCTTATTAACAGGTTAATTTCTGACCGGGGGCACGCTTATAACAATTATTAATTGGATAAATTATATGATATACGGTATAATTTTATCTTTTTAAATTTCTTTTCTGTTCTACAATGTATTGTGGTTGTAAATGGTGTGTTTTTTTGTGGATCTTAAGTCTGAAATTGAATAAAATCAGTCAATCAATACAAGTTAATATTAATGGACATAACAGAACTAACTGTAAGACTCTTCATCAATTCAGTACATGTTACTCCAAAGGAAAGTTTATTTTAGGTCTTTTATTATGTTAGTTTTCATCAATAACATGAACACGATGCTGTTTAGTTGCAGACAGCTCTGTCTGTCTTCACAATAAACTTTTAACCTCACCCATCAACATAGCAGTAAACTCTCGTCCACATTCCAGGCAAGGCGCTTTTTAACTCGAACGTACCTATTATGTGCATGTCTGGATGTTGTCCTGTGCACATGAGGATCACATGTGACTTTGTTGAAATTGAGACTCTTATAGCTCCATTTTACTCTGAAGAGCAGCCCATGGAATATGTGCAATATATCCAGTCCATAAAAAAGATGTAAAAAATAAAATCAGTATGACATCTGCACAAACTAATCAATCTGATGTACTGTAAACAGCCGTGGTCTCAAACTGAGGTTCTCTCGAGTGTCAAAAAGCGTTTGGATGGGTCTCCACTTTAATATATTTCTTCATAATAAGGCAGAGCCCTCCAGCATAGCATGACTTCTGGTAGTGAGATAATTTAGCCTAGCCATTTGATTCAGGTGTGTAGGGCAAAGGACACTTCTAAAGGTGGCAGGATTCCAGTCCTCAATGGGTCTTAAATTTAAGACCACTGGCCTATCAATTAGAATATGTGTAGAAATCATAACAATATGACTTCTTTGGTTTATCACTGGTGACGTGATTCTGATGAAACAAATGAAGAACACAGTTTCTTTGTCAGTCAAAGTCAAGTATTGATGATTGTCTAAAAGTGGAACGCACAAAAACTGAAATAAAGACTATTTTACTTAATCTTTTAATTTGAGCATTTAATACTTATCATTGTATTCATTCCAAATAAAAAGCACCATAAATATGTTGCCAGGAAATTAGTGAAGAATCAAAATAAATACAAAAAAGTATCAAATATAAACCTGTATTTATAAAACTGTAGCTCCTCTCAGTAAATCCCCTAAAATCATATTAAACTTGAATTGGGAACAAAATACAGAACAAAACGTATAGTCAGACTGACTTCATTAATTTTTATTTGTTTCATAAAGGCACCTGAGCTTGTTTGATGAACTGCAATAGCTCAGTGTGAAAAATGGCAGATACCAGGCTGTTCTCCACATCCAGGATGTTCCTCTGCTTGGTTTTGATGAGTGTCACAGCTGAAGGTTAACTCAAAGAAAAACATCCTTTTCTTGTTTAATTTTTCAATTGGGTTCTACCAAAGCAGAACAGATCCTAGCCCTATTTTATTTTACTAACTAATAAAATACTTTCATGTACCCATTGCAATACCCCCACAGACCACTAAGGGTAGCATATCCTCGTTTGGGAAACATGCCTGTACGTAAATAGAACTTTTTCAAGTCAGGGGACTCCACAGTACTTTAGTTTTCCATTGTTTGGAAAGGTAAATGTTAAAATGTAAAAAATGAATATAATATAATGTCTTTGATAATTCAGGTCTTAATATCACACTAAATCACACTTGGATACTGTGGCATCAAACAGTTTGCTTAACCCTGGTTCTGTGGACACTTCTCACTTGCTTTTCCCACTAGAACATGTAAGGGGACACGAACAGGGTGACCTTGGTAAGATAGCGGCCTAGCAGGGTGTTGCGCTCCAGCTCACTCATTTCTACCTCTGCCTCCAAAGTGGCCGGGCCTTTGATAGGTGTTACCAGGAGAAGGGTCCCGGTCTGCCGACCAGAGCGCTGCACGCTGAAGTGACCTTGGCCATGGCCACCACCTAGGCCAAATCGCAGAGTATCTCCTAGCACACGGGCTGCAGACACCCTGAAGAGGACGCGAGGGGCAGACATGTTTGAAACCACAGCGAGAAAGTGAAAGGAGATGGAGTTTGGAGCTTGGTTGCACGCTCGGTCCCCGAACATACACGGGTTCCTCTCACAGCGCCTGAAAAAAAACATCATCACATCATTAGTCTTCTTTCTGCCCACATTAGTATTTCTTAACTGAAATTAACTGGAGTTTTTTGTGCAAGCAAAATAAAACGAATCTCAAAAGATTGAAAGAGTATGCAAACAGACAGGTTTAGCATTAGAACAGTCAAATTCAATCCAACAGAAATATTCTTTGCAAGCAGTTGCATTATCACAAGGTGAAGCTTCTAAGTGCTGAACGTTTACATACTGCCTGGGCAAAATCTTGTTGGTCCACTTAGCCAGCATGCAAGTATTTTTCAGGACCCCTCCACTTTGCACATTGGAGTTTGATTTGATGATGCCGTCACACACCTAATTCACACAAACTCAATGTCTATTGGACAAGGGAGATTGCACTGTGGATCGTGTTCTTGATTTTTCCAGTGCATCTAACACAATTAAATTTAATTCAGTTTATTTATATAGCACCAATCCACAACACATGTCATCTCAGGGCACTTTACAGTTCACCAGACCATACAATCAAATTGATTAAAAGTTTTCTATCTAAGGAAAACAAGTTGATTGCATGGACTCATTGAC